TATATATATATATATATATATATATATATATATATATATATATATATATCTTTGGAGAATCGGGGATTCCGCGAGTTTATACCATCCTGAAAGGAAAGGAAGCTGCGCGAAGAGATCCTTAACTCCTCGCATCTCTCTAAACTGTGTTTCACCGGTCTCACTCGGATCTTCCCCTACCGTTTTATTGCTCCTTTTTGAGGCGGAAAGATATAGCCAGGGAAAAGCCAGGAAATGGGATTTTCTAAGAATAGAGGTAGTATTTTTGAAAGAACGAACCACGACCGAGTACAAGTATTAAAATAAAGCACGAGAATAAAGAGGGATTACTGTATTTTGTCTTATTTGTTTATATTGACATTTTAATTAATAACATGTGTATTGTTACACATCAATGGAAAAGCTAACGTTCATTAAATATAGTGAGATGCTGATTTCAAAATCATCAATAGAATTTAATCGGTTTTTTTAACCATTAATCAATTACCATTTTTTTGTTTTAATTTTATAAAATGTTTAGAAAAAGGGAAAAGAGAAGATGTTTATCCTGTTTATCCATAGCGGTTTCTCGAAATAAAAATTCCTTATTTAAATATATGCAAATTTGTATATGGACATGTAATATAAATAAGGAATTCTCTCTCTCTTCACGTAGATTTTCTTAAGAAACAACTACGAGCGCGGCTTCAAAATCACACACAACGACATTTCTTTTATCGTTGAAATCTCACGACGAGCGGGCTTGACTATTTTGACCTTTCTGTCTCAGAAAGAGTACGCATAGGTACTGTGTACGCATAGATACTCGACAAACCCGAAAATATTTCCGATTTACTGTTCGATTTATTGTCGATTCACGGGATAACTTTTACATCGTCCCGTACACCGGCAGGCGGTTTTCAGCGGTCGAACGGTAAAAGCGATCGAGCATCGGATGCATCGGACGCGCGCAACGGGGATGCGTCTGTCTAAAATACGTATATGCGTCTCGCGTGCTGCAGGCCGAGAAACAAAATTACCGTGCATTCTGAATCACGAGCCGTCGTCTTACACTTGACGGCGATAATCTGTAAACGCGTCGTTCGAGCGGAACCGCGGCGGATTCGCCGGAGCGGATTCGCGGTCGTCTGTTGATGAATAATGGATACGCTTTCCTGAATGGACGCGTTATTTCAACGTCTGTTCGCGGCTGTTCGCCGTGTTTTCCCGGGAAAAATCGAAGGAAAGGCACGTGCGTATCTACGTCGGCCAAGCGTCGATGCCCGCTCCTCGCGAAGGAGCGTGAGGTCTCGTTATTTGTCAATCCATAAGAAGAAACGTTACTGTTATCTATTTGCTCCTCCTGCAAAGCGCGCGGCTGCGAGGCGCACACGTATCATCCCTTCGCAGCAGTCGCGTAGTCACGCATACGTTGGATATCGAAGAAATTAATCCGCGCTTCCGCGAGAGTAAGAGAAAAAGAGAGGGAGGGACAGAGGGAGAAAGAGAGACGGATAGAGGGTTAATCGGCCGTTGCACGCAACGCCGCGTGCACGTGGAAACGTAGCGCACGAGCCCAGCGCGCGTAGCGCTGCACCCAAGGGTGGCAAGACGGAATTTTATATTCATTGCAAGCGCCTCCTGCCGGCTCTTAATTACGCCTAACGAGCCGAGCCAATTTAAACGCAGAATAAAGCAACCACGGCCGACAATTCCGAGGAGAAACGCATTGAGGACGATCACGATCTTTAACGCCGGTTCCCACGCGGAAATTCTACTCGCGCCTCAACTACGGCCTCGGAAGGATGGCGGAACGCAAGGACGTCTATTTCGATCGAAAAAAAAAAAAAAAATCTAAAAATTTCTTGTTCTAAAAGAAATACTCAGTCCGAAAAGTAGAAAGGCAAAAAAATACATTCAAACTTAATTACATTTACATGTTATGTGTAAACGATTATTAATAATTTTCAATTATGACGAAAAGCTAACGTATTCAAAATTATAACGTCTTACAATGTCTTCCATAGAGATGACTTCCTACAACTATAGTGATTGAAAAATTTATTGGTTTTATTTTAGATTTTCAGTGAAAATCTAATTTCAATTTTTTTATCAAACGTAATTAAATCAAAAATTATTTTTAATTTTTCTTTTACTCACGGTCGAATTTTTTTCGGTTCGAAGAGGAAAACGTTTTATATGACGGAATTCCAGGGTAAAAGTTTCGTGTCCGTTGTACATTCGCGAAATAAAGCGCATGTGAGGTAGACGCAGATTCTCGTCGTTTTCTCGCGTGCATCTTTCTCAGAGGTTTACGGCAGTGGTTAAATTATAGTTCGGTTAAGTATAATCACGCGGATGCTCCAATAGGCGCTATGGAATGCGGACTGGATCTGTATCTTTTCTTCCGCTCGGACATAATCCCATTATAGAGAGTGAGCGTGAAAAGGACAGGCCCGTCTAGTTGAATGCAAATTCACCGGCTTTGTATTTGTCCAGCACTAACGGGACGTATTCTCGATCAATTAGACATCGAATGAATCTGTAATGACAATTTAATTTGAATATCCGTTATCATCACATTTGCTGTCTGCAATTCTGAAGTTTGTGACCGAAATGAGGTGTTCTCAGGTTATTATAAGAAAATTATCCGGAGATCCATCCCTCGGTTATCTCTCCTTTCTATCCTTTTTATTCATCGTAAAATTGACTTCAGTCACTGTTAGATGCCTCGTCGGAAAATAATTTAGTATCATTCCAGAGTCACGTTTCATTAACATCCTTAGCATCGATAACTCAATCGCGTGTAACTGGATTGCGTGTTTTCTGCTCATCGATCATCATCGTAATATATTTCTCGCATACGAAGCAGATTCGTACAATTGCTTTATTTCTTCGCAAATCGCCGTGCATCTTT